CATTCACAATGCCGATCACTACCGTTGGTACATACTGAATCCTTTTCTTTTCCATAATTTCCTCAACGTTACTTCCTCCGACTGAAAATCATGTTGCCTCTCATCTGCCTACTGGATGCACCGAGACTACCCTTGTTCAACTATTCTGCCAATATCTGAGTTACCGAACTCCCACCGGTCACTACACTCCATCGCAATCTCCTAGCCGCTCCGAGCGACTCCGGAAGATACCTCGACTGTCTATAACTGTTCTATCCATTCTGCCATCCATACTGAATCGATGCTGCTGGAACCAGCTTGCTTATCTCTCCCTGATTACTCAACTCCTACTAACTCGAACCTTTCATCCTGAAGAAAAGCTACCTGCCTAGCTATCCTTACATATCACTTATACTCGGCCGAAGGCTCAACTGATCCTGCTGAGAGAGACTTGCCATTTCCAAATCAACCAACTATACCGCCAGCACTAGCATTCCAACGCAAATACTAATACTGATCATGCCTGAAACTCCAAACTGCCTGAGACACTGAGCTGACTGAAACACTGAATTCCGACTCAAACGCGGAATTAAGGACTCCTCACTTAGTCGCTTCCACGACTTCTGAACGAAATCTTTCTCTGGAACTAGTTTCCACTAGTTATCCTGTCGCTGTGGCTCTAACAACCTTCCGATCCAACCGATCGGGTCCATACATCACATCCTGACATCATCCATTCATTGGCTAACAACATGATGGTTCCCAGACTGACGGTAGCCCTTAACATACCCGAACCCCAACGGTCCACTGCTACTCTGACCTCATAACTGATGTGACGATCTATAGCCAAAATTTGCTGACTTAGCCATAACTGAACCATCTGGGAAATCCGAATCTAACCTGTGGATTCCCATATTCCCACTACTGCACCCGAACGGGTGGGAATTACTACGTTCCCGCGTTCAACAACGCGCTCATGCTGCTACCAATCTGATAAAAGCCATGGCTACACCCACGGACTCACAACTCTCAAATACTATCTGGCTGCTAATGAACGCTACGGCTACCCCCCGCAGACTTACAACACTACTACTACTATCTGACTGCTAGTGAATGCTACGGCTACCCCCGCAGACTTACAACACTCCTACTACTATTCCGAGGACATCCTGACTATCCCTAGTCCCGCTCGTGAATCCTCATCCTGATTTCTCAAAACCAGCTCTCAGTCTTTGAATTACTGCATCATCCTCGACATCCTATATCCTTGAATGCTCAGCGCTTCGTCGAGGAACTCTTCGGCTGGGTTCCCGAACCAACCGTCTACTAATCCAGATATAAGAAGCTATTGTTGGGAAGTTTCCAAATTCCCAACTCCTGAATCCACATAATCCTGCATGTTGGCTCTGCCACTGGCTACTAATACGAAGACATCTCCTGCTAACCGTTTCTCCGGATCCTCATTCCGACTCACTTGAGCCTTTACAGGTGGTCCTCAAATCCTGGATTCCCAACTAGCTTCTAACCATCTCCATTACACGAACTAACTGCCGGGAAAAGTTCTCGAACTCCCAATTCTGAACTTCTCAATCCATCCATCACTGTGCAACTACCACTTCTTCTCAAAGGCCGCGCACTCATTCTGGGTCTACGTGACTCTTATCCATGTATACCCGGAGGGTTCTCCCCCACTTCGATCCTGCTTACCCTTTGCTGCTTCACATTTCAAAAGAGATCCTGACCTTTACTACCATTCCAAAACTTCTACTGGGGAACCCAAGCCCGCCAGGTAGGAATTCAACCAATCCATCCCAAACACTACCCACTCCGAACTAGCGAAACAAACCAAATCTCTCCCAACCATGCTACAGTTACTGCATCCTCCGAAACCTTCTACATAAGAGCACATCCCCTAACTACCAACCAATTATCCGAGGTATGCAAATGGCATATAACATAATCACAAGCAAGCTACTCCATAACACAACACTTATACCACAATTGATGCATAACCATAACAATATAATCATAACATAAGCTGATAGAAAAAAAAAAAAACAAAGTTACATACCTCCATTACTCAATGCTGCTCGAATCCTTGCTGAAATCTACCGGAGAAACTCGGCTCCGAGCCGTAGGCACCCTTGCCCGGCCTCGACAACCACTGACGGTACTTGAAGTCCCAAGGGCAGGAGCTGGTGCCTGCCCTGCTGAATACAAACTCGGACAGTGGGCCTTCTTGTGGCCCCTCTGACTGCAATTGAAACATATCGGATCAAGTCCCTGGGCGATGAAAATAATGCAATCCCTGCTAAAATGGCCAATCTTGCCGCACTTGAAACATCCGACATCGCCACCACTCCTACGCCTGCACACACCCATGTGCGTCCTTCCGCACTTCCCGCATCGACTGCGGCTCTGGTAGTTCCTCGTTCTCAAATCCGAACCCTTGGGCCTCTTACCCGAACCTGTGGCTACCTGAGTCTCATCCATTTTCCTCTTCCTTTTCGACCCCCTGCCCAACTCTCGCTCCTGCGTTACCCCAACGGCAACGCCTGCCGACTGAACAGCAGCTGTCTGATCCTAGAGCCTCGCTATCAATCTATCAGTGGTCCTCACAACCATGTGGGGCAGATCCTCATGAATGGCTCGCGAAACTTCCTCAACTAACCAATCATGCAAAGGTCTCTCTTGGAGACAGAATGCCCCACTCACCCCTGCTCCCTGATGGCAGGAACTAGAAATGGAATCTCCCTCCCTGATGGATCCCTGAACTCCATAAGATTCGGGACCTAGACGAGCCCCAATCTGTCCTGAAACCATCCTGGCCTTAAAGGCCTCAAGATGACTGTCCATGAGCTCCACAATGGCCTCTCTAACTGAACCGAAGATCACTGGAGTCTGATCAATGATGTTGCGCATAATCTCTGCGGAAATGAAATCCCTCATCTGATCATCAAGCTGCCCGGATCTAAAGCCCGAGCCAGACCCCTCCCCTGCACCTGAACTGCCAACTGATATCTCGCGCAACGTCACCATGCTGAAAATATAACAATTCCTGATCAATTTACACACTACCGCTGAGGGATTTTTCACACACTCTACTAGTTCTTTGGTTTTGCCTCGGCCCCTCTTGAATCGAGTACGGATCCTCTGCCTTCAGTAGTATGGGCCCCTACTACCTTCCACATCTACCCGTACTTTCCTCAAGAGTTACCTCAACTCCACCAAGTCCCCTTTACTCTTCTACTGATCTCTGCTACTCCCATCCTAGGCTTGCCCTAGGGAACCTCTGACTCTACCCAAACAGTCCTCAGCTGTTGAAGGCCTCCTTGTAATGCCAATTAGCCACCACCTGAATACCATCACATGTAATGAGGCTCAGATAATCCTTCGAGTAAAAGTCTCGTCCCTACAATGGTTGGACTCAGACGAGAGTTGCGCAGTAGGGCCAAATCTAGCACTCTTAGATTTTCCAACCCTGATCACATGTGATGTGACGTATTCACCTAATGGCTAACTCCCATCACTCAGAGTCCCACAAAGCACAAAGCAAGCAACATTCGGATAAAGGAAACATACTCAGGCAAAACAATTCTCATAACAAGAAACTGCACTAGCATACAATGCTAAGCTCATGCTATCAGGCATAACCTACACAGGCTATCCTACTACTGTCTACTCAATACTAGCATGCAATTCTTATCAAGCTGAAACACATAAAACAGGCACATAAGGCATCATCCTAGATCCTTAGTCTTATTCTAGCATGCTGTTCTACTGAAGCTGAAACTGAAACTGAAACTGAACTGAAACTGAAGCTGATAATGATAATCATAACATAACTTGTATGGGTAAATTGGGAGTACTTACTTGAGCTCGGCTGATTGCATGCACCACACTATTTTTTTTTCTTTTCAAAGTTCCTTCTTTCTGAATTCTTTTTACTTTTCTAAAACCGTTTTCTTTCTCAAAACTCTCCTTTTACAAAACCATCTTTTCATTTTTTTGAAAATCTTTATACCAATCCCTCAGTTTGAGTCCAGACACGCTTGAGAGCATGTCCAAATCCCTCAAACCAAGGCTCTGATACCAACTTGAAACATCTACATCGGCTTGGAAGGAGAACGAAACATCTACTTATAAAGGGGTGTGGATACCTTCCTTGTCATAACACGTTTTAAAGCCGTGAAGGCAGCAGATCCCATAAGAACTCTGCAGTTAAGCGTGCTCGGGCGGGAGTAGTACCGGGATGGGTGACCCCCTGGGAAGTCCTCGTGCCGAGTGGCCCAAAGCGGACAATATTGTAATACGTGCCAGAGGGGGGGGGGTGTTACAAATAGTATCGGAGTTAGGGCACGGGTCGATGTGTTCGACGGGGACGTCGAACCCTATAATAGGGGGTGAAGGTGGGTTGCACCTGATCCTACATCGGCTTGGAAGGAGAACGAAACATCTACTTATAAAGGGGTGTGGATACCTTCCTTGTCACAACGCGTTTTAAAACCGTGAGGGCAGCAGATCCCATAAGAACTCTGCAGTTAAGCGTACTCGGACGGGAGTAGTACCAGGATGGGTGACCCCCTGGGAAGTCCTCGTGCCGAGTGGCCCAAAGCGGACAATATTGTGATACGTGCCAGAGGGGGGTGTTACATTTATTTATTAAAAAAAAATAAAAAAATACCCAAGTGTGACACCATTCCTTGGGTGTGGTATGAAACCACATTTTTGTGGTAATGGATGAGGTGACGCCTACATATCACTGCAGTTTCATGAGGAAGTGTGACACCATTCCCTCCGGCGTTACCCATATTTCTTCCTTTAAGTTTTTTTGTATAATTGTAATTTGTGTATATTTGAAATTTAGGGAAAGATGAAGTAAAATAAAAAATATAAAGTGATGACAAAAGATAAAGAAAACCTATCCTTTCTGCCGACCATCTTTTCTTTTTTATGTTTTCTATGTAGTTTATTATTTTATTATTTCACATGTACACATTTAATTGATTTGTTTATATATTAATAAAGTTAACTTGTATGTCCTTAAGAATTCTGAATTTATTTTGGTGTTATAATTAGGAAAATTGATGCTTTTTGTTTAAAATTCAAATTTTTTTATAAGCCCTCTCTATATTCAAATCCTTACCCTCGTTAAAGGCAAAAGACAAAGTGTTCGGTTCGTCTTAATCTTGTATTTTGTGCTTCTTGATTTACCATGGATTCATAGATGATAGATGGGAGGGGAAAGAAAGATAACAACTTTCATGTGTTTAGGAATAGAACTATAGAAGATTTAGGAATAATAGAGAGAATGTAAAGCAGAATAAAAAGCTGTTAGGGAAAGAATAAAGAATACCCACCAACGAAAACTAAAATATACAGAAAAACATACTCTACCAATCTCCAAAGACTTTATATGCCTCGTAAAACCCAAATTCAAGCGATGACTTCTTGTTTCCATTTCCTTTGAAGATTCTAAAACCTCCATTTGGAAACAAAATTTTTGGTCATTTTCATTCTTCTTGAATTATAATTGTCTTCCGTCCTGTATTGGACAATTCTGTTTAGTCAGCGCCTCTTAATTGATCATCATCTAGACGTCCACATCACAAATCACTATTCTTCTTCTTATTAATCACCACTTATGCATTCCAGCAATTAAACTCCGAACTGGTTTGTCGCACGATGATATTGTTGACGAAGTCCCCTCTCGCTGGGGATCTTTGCGCCTTAACTTTCTCCATTTGTGTCGCACTCTCTTTGCTTCGATGTTTTGAAGAAACTGCAAGAAGAGGAGTTTTCGACCAGGTGGATCTTCTTTTACTTCTTTGATTACTCTACGTATTCAGGTGTGTTTCGATTGGGTTTTTGATGCTTTCATCTTACTTCCTCGTTGCAAAACCGTCGATCAATTTTGGCTTTTACGTAAAGTCAACGAGGATTTTATTGCAACTTAACTTACATGCATGTAGATCTGAGCTTTGCAAGTTGCAACATCATGAATAGAGTTTTGTCGGATATAAATCTACAACAAGATCCATAATCAAAAAGATTCATTTGAGATTTACTATAAATTTACAACGAAATCATGTCTTACAATTTTAATTTGGCTTAAAAATACATGAGAAATCCTATTTTTACGCCCAATCTTTCCTGATAAAGATTTTCTTCTTGATAAATGTGAAACGTTTTGGGTATATCGATCAAGGTTTTCATGCAAATATAACTTAAAAAATAGTCAGAACTCGTAAGTGTTTTATAAATCTGTTTTCGTCTTTCATTATTAGAAACTAAACAGGAAGCTCGTGCATATAACGTTTGGACTACAGTTCATGTTATGCTGGCCGCTCTTCAGGTAAATAACGTGAGAAAGGAAGGGATGTTTTGATCATTAACTTCATGTATGATGATTACGTTATTCCTATATTATCACAGTTCAGGAAGTCAAGGAGCATTCATGGCAGCTGTGGTGCCAGGTGTCAACATAGTGAAAGTGCTGCTCATTGGATATGGGATAGTGAAAGACGAGGCCACTGTCAAATCTATGAGCAGATTTGGAGACCACAGGTTTTTAAACTACAAAATATATCGGATCATATGAATTAACCAAAGATTTTATGATCGTTTTATTTGCTTCTTTATGTATCAGGGAACTTATAAGGGGTCCTTTGTACTATGTTTGTACAATCACATTGTGTTGTACAGTCTACTGGAGAACATCACCTATTGCCATTGCTGCAATGTGTAATCTTTGTGCTGGAGATGGTAATGATTCTTTCTAAAATTATGATCATAAGAAGAACATTTATTTCATTCTACTTTATCTAGTGGGACAAAAGAGTATCTCATGTCAAAATTATATCTTTCGACCTTGTTCTTTCTACAGGCATTGCTGACATTATTGGAAGGAGATTCGGAAAGAAGAAAATTCCTTATAATACTGATAAATCTTTTGCAGGTTCCATTGCCATGGCAGTTGCTGGTTTCATTGCTTCTGTTGGGTAATCTTTTGAATTTTGATCTTTTGGCAAATATTATCCCATTGGAAACTAAATATTTTCCTTTTGTGCAAGAGATTGGACTCTATTTTTTTCCCACTAAGTGTTGTCTAAATAACGATTTTGTCCTGATAAATGATGTTAAAATATATTTAAGGAAATGACAGCGACACTTGGCAACATGAAAGGAAATAATAAAGACTCTTAGTTTTTTCCTCACTTTTGTGTATTAAGTGAAAAGAAACTCCCATCTGACTATCTTATTGTATAGAACACTTAATTACTTGAGATAGACATCATTTATCTGGTCAACACTCGATCAATACAGCATTTAACGGGGAAAAGGGTTGTCCATTTGTCCCTATTAATTCCATTTTTTAAAAAAGAAACACTTTGGAATATTAGTGATATTGTATAGGTACATGTACTATTTCTCAATGTTTGGCTTTGTTGAGAAAAAATCTAAAATGGTGGTGGGCTTCTTCGTGGTGTCTCTTATGAGTGCGTTCGTTGAGTCTCTCCCAATAAGCACTAAATTAGACGACAATCTGACTGTGCCTCTTGCCAATGTGTTGCTAGGAACTTTGGTATTCTTGTAAATGTATTGAGCTGAAATATGTGATTATTTGTTGTAAAATGTTAGTCAAATCGATTATAGTCATGTACGTGTTATGTTGATTAGAACTTGCACCAATTTATGTACACAAATGTTGGTTTTAATTGCAGAATTGTTCTTGTCTAATTGTAGTCGTTTGTCGTTATTGATGTTATAACTTCCTAAGTACGTGTAGTTATTGATGTTATAACTTCCTAATTAAGTACGTTAAATAAAAAAAGTAACTATTAAATTTTGTATCATTTATGGTGACTTGTTGAAATTCAAAGTTTTTTTGTAGCTGTCGTATCTTTCGAAAGAAAGCATCATTATTTTTTCAAGGTTTTCGTATTACCGAAATTAAGAGACCTCTACAATTGTTGCTTTGTTATTTGACATATAATGAACTGTCACACACTTAGCTATTTTAAGTAAGTGAGGGAAACATCATCGTAAACAAATCATGTGTGCTCTCCTACGTGTCTTATTATTATTGGTTGTTATTCTACCAACTTAGCTATTCATATATACAATATATATAGAGGTGGATGGAGAATTAATGTAATGATTTTTTTGCTAGTTAGTGTTCTATCTATAACACCTAGACTTGTGTTGCATTTTTTGATCAGTCGAAGAATATTTATAATTTGTCTGTGTTCATTTTAGTTTTGCACTTTTGTTTATTATTGATTTCTGTACTGAACGAGTGGTATCATAGCATGACCGTTTAATAATTTTAGAATCCCATTTCGTTTTCAAATACCTCTGATATGTTACTCACATATTTGTTTTTCTGTTTGAATTTTATTTTTCTTAAGTTTTTGGCAGTTTTGAACATGTTTTTCAATGGCAAACAGTTCTTAGGCGATGTACAATGTTGCAAAAATTGTTGATTCAAACACTTGTGCTCCAATTTTGGAGGAGTATGATCAGTAGACAATCCACATGGAAGACTATCTGTATGCTCTTAATGAATACGTATGGTAATCTATCAAACTTAGACCTCATAATCCTAGTTTCACATAAACAAGAGTTATTCCCAAATTACGAACCCTCTCTTATTTATAGCAACAAACAACTCCAAAAAAAATGACAAAACTACCCTAATAGTTAAAGCCACATATTAAACTAACTAACAATTCTTCACCTTGGCTTTTACTATGAGTACAGTAAAAACAAACAATTACTTCCACTTGTCGATGTTTAGAAAATCTAAACGATGTCTAAATTTTGTTAAAGGTAACGACATTGTTAATGCATCAGTTGGATTGTCTTGGGTCCTAACTTTCTTCACTTGAATTCTTCCTTCTGAATGGATAAAATGATAACGAACATCTATATGCTTCGTTCTTTCATGATGTACTTGATCTTTAGCCAAACAAATTGCACTCAAGTTGTCACAAAAAATAACAACTTTATCTCGATGAAAACCAGAATCTCCAAGCAATCCTTTCAGCCAAATTCCTTCCTTTGTAGTCTCTGTAAGAGCCATATACTCAGCCTTTGTAGTGGACAAAGCTACTGAAGGCTGTAGAGTTGCTTTCCAACTCACTAAAGCATTTCCAACTACAAACACATATCCTTTCAATGACCTCCTCGAATCAATATCAGCTGCATAATCTGGATCCGAATAACCAGTCACACCAAACATTCTTCTTTTCCTCCATAAATGAGTCCAACATCATATGTACCTTTTAGGTATCTAAAAATTCGTTACACAGCAACCCAATGTCCCTTTCAAGGATAAGCCATAATTGAGAAGTTGTTTTACTCTTGTAATATTAGTCATGTATTGAGAAGCCACCAACATATCATCCAGATAGAGTAACAAAAACACACCTGACCCATTAACACCCTCCTTATGATATTTACAACAATCATAATGACTTCTACTATAACCATGCCTAACCTTAAAAAGGTCAAAATACTTATACCATTGACTAGCAGATTGCTTTAACACGTAGAGTGACTTCTTGAAATTACAAACATAATTCTTGTTACCTTGAGCTACAAACCCCTCTTAGATTCATTTGTGCCACAAGTGCCAACAACACTCTAATAGATGTATAACGCACCACATGTGAGAATATTTTGTTATAATCAACTCATTGTTCACTTATAACAACTACACCAAACGAGCCTTAGACCTCAAATTTTGAGATACAGGAAGCCCTGTTTTTCTCTTAAAAATCCATTACAAGTCACACTTTGCTGAAACGAGGTAACTTTAACACTTCCCAAGTTGGGTTCTTATGAAGAGATTCAATCTATTCACTTATAACAACTATCCACACATCAACCTCTTTAGATGTTATTGCTTCTTTATAAAAAGATGGTTTAAAGAATTCCATTTCTTTAGCCACTTGCAAAGCATACGCTACCATATCTTCAAAACCATATCGAATTGGCCTTCCAACTTGTCTCCAGGGTCTATCCAAAGCAATAGACTAAGAATATTCATGGTGATGTTTTTCATTCACAACAGGTACTGTTTGAGATGAATTATTAGGTTGTTCAATAGATTTATCAAGCTCTTCAGAGTTATCTTACTCATACTCCACCTGTTCGGACATATTCTCACCATAAGTATTTGGTGCAGATGAGTATTTCATACCATGCAACATACTATCCTCATCAAACACTACATCTCTACCGAGAATCACATTTTTCTTATCAAGACACCAAACTCTATAGCCCTTTACACCATCTCCATATTCTATAAACAATTATTTTTTTAAACGAGGCTCCAACTTTCCCTCACTAATATGGTAATAAGAAGGACAATGAAACACTCGCAGGCCTATGTAGTCGGTTGTTTTTCCAGACCATACCTTAAATGGGGTTGTAGAATTAATTATTGTAGCTGGAGTTCTATTTATCAGGTAACACACTGTATTAATAGCTTCTGCCCAAAAACACCTAGATAACCCTACATTAGACAACATACACCTCACCCTTTCAAACAATGTTCGATTCATTCTTTCATGCACTCCATTTTGTTGTTGAAGCATCGTTTCTATTCAAAGATAGGTCTTTTTGGAAAGATTTAAATTGTGAGGAGAAGAAACATTTTAGAAAGATTTAATTTGCCGTTTAAGAGTAATGTTCATTCAATTAATCATATCTTTATGAAGCATCATTTCCATTAAAATATAAGTCATTATGTACCAGAGTCTTATTGTGTTACGAAGACTAATTACGTATGCAAACTAGAAAATGTAATGAATATAAATGAAATCTAGGTTCCAAATTAAGTAAATTTCAAAAAGGATATACAGAAGTAGGTAACCAAAATGATATCAGAGCGGTAACATCATGGATAGCAGATATAGCCAAAAAAGCATATTGAAGCCAATAATCAAAATGATATAGAAGGTTATACTGAAGCCAACATTAGCTTCTTCGATGAAGTTGGTAGCAAATAAAACAATGAGTCAAATCAAAATTTACAATTTTATTCTTCAAAATCCAAGGACTCACTAGGACCCAAACAATAATTGCAGTCATAACCCTAATCCCCAAGGACTTGATCGATTCGTTCCTTCGAATTCAAACTTAAATTTTGACCCTAAACTTTATGGATTCTTCATTCTTTTAACCATAAAAATTCTTCAAAGAGTTGTTTTTTCGAAGCTAGAAGGACCGAAGTTTGGTTTATCATAGAACTTCTTTTTCCATGCCAGTTTCTTGGCTTTCTCTTGCTGGTTCTTCGAAGAGTTGTTGTTGTTTCCAGGCGATGTTCAGTTCTTTCTCCATACCAGTTTCTTGGCTTTCTCTTGTTTGTTCTACATCTACCTATATCAAGACGATAAACACATTCACTTTTCAAATGATGAATGTCAATAAGTTTCGATTGTTAAAGAAGACTTTTTCTCAGATTCTCAGTATTCATAATGTTGAACCCTTCTACAAGGCAAAGAATGAACAAACTATTGATATGTTCAATGAGATGAGTTATCAACCTACTCTTACTAAAATTAATGAGTTTAAGAAGCCTGGATTACCTTGTATGTGGAATTTTTTCATTGGAAACTATCTTTGCTGCTTAACTGGAAGAACATTAGTGTTGGATAACGGTTGTTTGGAGGTTTAAGCAATAGTGGCAGGATTATACTACGACTTATCGATGGACTATGCAATTCAGCTCTAGAATGAGTTTGTGAAAAGTGTTGTGAACACGAAATGCAATCGATGGGATTTCGCGTTCTCGTTATTGGAGCTTAATTTTACAATATGCTTATGAGAAGGAATGTATTTTGGTTCCAGACAACGAAGAAACTGCTGAATTTTCAGTGTTTCATCATCCTAAAACTATTGAAGATGATGGAGAAGTTTTTCCAACTGTTGCCAGAATTCCTGATGCAATGCTTCACAAGGTGGATCTATCTCACCCTGTTTTGGTAAGCCATTTTAAGATAATTAATCTTGATATCGAAACTGGTGTGTTGTTAACTACAACCACTACTCCATCAAAGAAGAAGAAAGGGTCTAAGAAAGTTATAAAGGAAAGTCTATCCACAACAAAACCTGAGCAAGTTGAGAAGGTTACTACAATGAAGAAAGTGCAAACTGAGCCACCTCCGGTTTTGAAGCCTGTAACAGAAGTCGTACCTTCGAAATATAGTGTGTTGAAAAAGATTGCTCATACACCTCGTCATTCTCCTGAAAGGTCGAGAAGTTTTTCACCAACTTTTAAAGTGAAGCCACAAGTCAGTTGAAAGGGGGTTTTGTTTCAAAAAGTTCAAGTACCTGTTTCTCCAGCTTCGAAGAAACGGAGGGTAAAAGACATGGCCAAACGTCTTTCCAAGAGACAAAAGAAGAAGCCAAGATGTTAGTGATTCATGACGATACAATAGATGAAGAAGTTGTTCCCGAGTTTCCAATTCATGATGATCAAATGGGACATTCTTCATCTGAAAGGGATTCTCCACTTATGTCGAATCTCAAGGCAACTGGAAATCTTGATGACTCTGTGGAGAAATTCTAAAGTAGACACACCCATCAATCTTGGTAAACAAATGAAGAAGTCTACTCCTAAGAAAACAAATGTCATACCACCCGGAATGTCGACTGCCAAATTATTTCATGAGGAGGTTTTCACTTTAGGCATTACTGCTAACAAATCTAATATAGAGGCAAATGTCACTATGGGT